TAACTTAAATACTTAAATTTGTTTTTAAAAATTCTAGAAAATTGTAATTATACACAAATTAATTTCACACACAGAGACAGACACACTATATTTTATAAGAGAGAGGACGAGAGAAGTGTTCCTCCCAGTAGAGACAAGGTAATCTTGGCTGACCAACCTCGACCAAATTAGATAAATTGACCCTCACCTTTGTAGAGATTCATTTGTCTGTTTACTCGGATGCTGAGAGAGCCTGGAGAGCAGGAAGGTCAAACCCTCAACCCCTGTGTGGATGCCAGCTGTCTGATAGAGTGAGACAGACAGACACAGAGAGAGAGAGAGACAGCTTCACTCGGAGGGGCTGGGGAAGTTTAGGCTAAAGGTAAAGGTAAGGATGGATGGAGCAATGGATGGATGGATGGATCAGCAGGTCCACTTGACCCCCCGATTAGCTGAGCTCGCTTTAATTAGCGCTGAGTGCCAGTGCCAGTAATTAGCCGCATTGTATCACCTGCCAGAGGCCCTGCACCATTGCAGCACACGTTGCTATGGCTACCGGAGGACAAGAATGGAGGGGTGGAGAAAAGAAAGCTAGAGGACAGGAAGAGAGAGAGAGAGAGAAAGCGCCAACATTAGACATGATCCAAACAAAAACAGCATGCGGCAGGGACACGGATGAAGATTTGTTTTCCCGTGAGAAAGTCCATTGCAATACTAAAGATAAATGACATAAAAATCACTCATGCATGAAAGGCTGATAAACCAGTGAACAAAATAAAGGTGAACACCATAAACTACCTTTGCATTCAACGGTTTAGTGATGCTTGATATTTCTGGTGCTTTAAAATGTGTCGTAATTTATTAATTATTCAAAAATGGCAATAAAGTACAAAATTTCTTGATACATGGCAACAAACTTCCTTGAATAGTGCTTGTTTTTTTAATAATCAAAAAAAGTTACAAGGTCTAACTAGATTCCTGAAGCAAGTATCAGTGTTTGCAATGCAGAAGCAGAATAGTTTATGGTAAATTTAGGCTTTAGGTTTTGGTTCTGTGAAACTGAAATATTGTTTCCAGCCACCATTGCTGTTATGTCACTTAATGTGTTATTATAGATGGTGAAATACAAAGAAACATCATGTAGAAATCAAGTATGCAAATACTGTACATTCACTGGTGAACATTATAACAATGTTAGGATTTACCAAAAAATAATTTAAAGTTTTCAAAAGCAAGCACTGTAAAAACATTTTATGTATATCAATATACTGTACTATACTATATCAACTCATTGCTAAAAGTATACACAAATACAAACAACAGGCTGTTTATGCTGGTGTGTGTAACAGTACAGAAACTATAGCGGTTTTGTACTTTCAGTTCTGCATCTAACAAATGATGCATTGTTCTTTAACAGTGCCTCAACAACAATTTGTTTTGCTAAAAAAAAAAAATATGAAGACCAAAATATCAAAAGTAGTGGGAGGGAAAATATTTGAATGTATAATGCAGGTTGTTCTCGTTCGTGACCCCTCAACCTTCAAGATTTTGAAGGATGAAAATGACAGGAGCTGCTAAATAAATGAGCTGCAAACTTCTCAAACAGGATTGGTGTTTTGGGAGCTGTATGGAGACTGACTTCAATGTCTTTCCTGATCAAACAAGGCCCTCTGCTGGTCATGCAGAAGCCACGTGTTTCCAGAGACCACTGGTTCATTCAATCCATTTATACTTTTAGGTCCCCCCAAATTCTTGACACTATCTACAATTTCTAACATTTCAGCTTTGAGATGGAAGACGATCAAACAGCATTTTGAAAGTTCCTCAACATCAATAAACACACTCTTGAGTCAAAGTCAAAAGAGACATTGCGCTTGTGCGTGTACACACACCTCCTCAAAAATAAATCCACGACAACGAATGTACAAACTCTGCAGTCTGAAACAGAGAGAGCAAACAATAGCGAGAGAATAGAGAGAGAGCGGGCCACCTAGCAACCCCTCGTCCTGCTGCCATGGAGAGGTAAGCCGAGAGCAGAGGAGACAAACCTATAGGAGAGAGGAGCTGATGCAAACTCAGGGATTCCCTCATCTGAGGTTCACACCAGCCCACGTCCCAGGAATCACCCCACACACCGCGGGACCGCAGCAGTAATGAGATTCAATTACTGCAGAGCCTTATGTAACTAGCTAGGGCTATACTTTCACCAGTGCGCCTTGCATGAGATGCACACATTCGGTCACGCAAACACATGACGAATGCAGTGAAACACAAGCACCTTTGCTGAAGGTAGAGTACAAACACAATGGCATTTGAGGTTATTACTAGAAGATTATAGCCCTCAACATTCGAAAGAAGCTGCTATCTTGCACACAGAAAAGCAACATGTCGTGTGAAGCTAATGTGTGCACGTGTGAGACTGGAGAAAACACGATTCGAAATGTGCCTGACTGAAAGCGTTACTCATCATTTCACTTTCATTCTGCTTCATCGTTTATTTGCACAGTGAAACTGGTTTTATTTGGTAAAGATAATTAGCTTTCTCATTACAGTAATTTGATATACAAACCATCAATAACATTCATTACTGCTCACTAAAGCTCTTGCTGTATGTCATTATCTATCTATTAACTCCCTCAGTTTACAAAAGTGACATTGCTTAGTATCATCACTGGACCCTTGCTGGATCCTCTTTAGTTTGCCTACAGAGCAAACAGGTCTGTGGACGATGCAGTCAACATGGGACTGCATTATGTTCTGCAACATCTAGACAGACCAGGGACTTATGTGAGGATCCTGTTCGTGGACTTCAGCTCGGAGCTGGCTGTCTGGTGCAGTCTCAACAACTTGGAGCTCAACACGCTCAAAACTGTGGAGATGACCGTGGACTTCAGGAGAAACCCCACCTGCTCTCCCTCCACTCACCATTATGGACAGCACTGTGGCCGCAGTGGAGTCATTCAGGTTCCTGGGCACGACAATCTCTCAGGACCTGAAGTGGGACACTCACATAGACTCCATTGTTAAAAAGGCCCAGCAGAGGTTGTACTTCCTTCGCCAGCTGAGGAAGTTCAACCTGCCACAGGAGCTGCTGAAACAGTTCTACTCTGCTATCATTGAATCCATCCTCTGCACTTCTATAACTGTCTGGTTCAGCTCAGCTACCAAATCTGACCTCAGAAGACTACAGAGGGTAGTCTGGACTGCTGAGCGAATCATTGGTACAACCCTCCCTTCTCTCCAAGAACTGTACTCATCCAGAGTGAGCAAAAGGGCTGGCAGAATCACTCTGGACCCCTCACATCCAGCACACTCCCTCTTTGAACTGTTGCCATCTGTTCGACGCTACAGAGCTCTGAGCACCAGAACGGCCAGGCACAGGAACCTCTACATTTCAATTTGCACATAATATACCTATACATACAACTGTCTATTGTTATATACCTGTACATACAATTGTCGATTTGTATATTTTGTATTCCTTCTTTTACTTGTTCTATTTTTTATTTTTTTTTTATTATCTGTGTTTTTTGTTCTGTCACTGTCATTCTGTTACACTGTGGAAGCTTCTGTCACGAAAACAAATTCCTCGTATGTGTAAACATACCTGGCAATAAAGCTCATTCTGATTCTGATTATGTGTATGTATATATATAAACTACTGTTCCAGTCATGGATGCTGACAAAATTAGTTTTTTTTCTACAGTACTAGTACTGTAACACATCGACAGGGGACACGTCCAGTGTACAAATTAAGCAACTTAAAATGTACACATTAACAGCGTTGCACGAGATACGAGACCAAGGTCAGACGATTATCTTCTCATATACTCGAAAACTGTAAAGTGTGTGTCGGCTAGACTGCCAAAATACTACTTTTAAGAGTACACTAACATAGAGATGACCTCAAAGCTAAAAGAATTTGAGTTCTGTGGGATTTAATACAGTTTACATGTAAGGGACTGGGGTAATATAGAGTAAAATTCATATCATTCCATTTGAATTCAGTGTTGCTATTATGACATATCTTAAGTTAAAATATGGGCAATTAAATACACTGATCAGCCACAACATTAAATCCACCTGCTTATATAATTAGGTCGTCCTCATGCTGCCAAAACTGCACTGATGCATCGAAGCAGTACTTGTCCAGTGGTTTCTGGCACCAAGACATTCACAACAGCTCCTTTAAGTCCTGCAAGATGCGAGGTGAGGCCTCCACGGATCAGAGTTAGACCAGCACATCCCACAGATACTCAGATACAAATTCAAGAACTGACTGTTCACTTGCTACCTAATACATCCCACAGGTGCCATTGTAATGATATGATCAGTGTTATTCACTTAGTCTGTCAGTGGTTTAAATCAATGCATGTATTCATATGCCTGCAAATTTGAATAAGAATGATATCAAAAGTAATTTATACATTCTTAAAAATCTTATTGCCCCAGGTAAGGTAGGGGCCATCTAACCCCAATATGAGGTATGGCCTCATAAATTGAATAATCATACATTATACAACTAAATTAGCAAATGTTTCTATTTATTTCCATTAATAACACACTTATGCATCATCATCATCCTGTACATGCTAAGCATATATCTAAATATATGTTGTATATGTTGTATCTTACATATAAATGTAAATGTTATATCTAAAATATCAAGCTGCTGAACTGAACTGCAACTCCTCAACTAAAACACAACAGAAAGAGGAGTTCTTTATCCTCCGGTGAAAAACTAAAGGCAGATATTGAATTATGGTTGTTGTTAATGCAGCTAAAAGTGGCACAGTTATTACTCTTATACAGAGGGGATATGGGTATTCTATAACTTTATAAGCAGACTTAAGAAGCGAAATGAAACATCTTTATGATGTCCATAAAACCCACTTGACTTGCTGGAGTAACAAATAAACAAATAATAGAGATCTCGGGAACAATTGCCTAGAACATTTCACCTAGTATCCTCTTGAAGAAGAAAAAAAATGGGGAAGAAAAAGTTTAATTATAGAAATTTAAAACTAGGTAATCCATTAGGGATGTACTTGCATTTTATTGAATAATAATTCAAGGTCAGTTAGTACACACTTAGCAGCAATCTCTTTCTTTTTCATTCTTTTAATATAGTAAGAGCATTGAGAATTGGCACAAACAATATATTAATGTCAACTCCCAGTTCAAATCTGTATATGCAATAATACCAATTTCCAACACACTACAGAAAACATAAAAGAAAATATGTTCAGTTTGTCATGTCTCTTTCAGTGTGGGCCTTGGTGAATAATAAAAAAAGACATTGTCATTTTTATTTATGCAAATAAGAAATACTGAACAAGGGGGGAAAGAAGCAAAAAGCAGTGTGGAACAAAGAAAGAATGAGAAGTGAGACTGACTTGTCGTTTCTGTGTGGGCTGGTGAACATCAACCACACTAGCATTTAATTAAAAGGGGAAAAAATCTCAAATAAAGATTCTTTTTAAAAACCGAATTACTCAGGAGACTCAGACACAGAAAATGTCAAAAAAAATCATGATGATAGTTAAGACAGCAATGTGTCATGACGACAGATGTCGTTTCTACCGAAACATCTATCTGCTAATAACTGCTAAATGTAAGACTGACTGTATGTTAAAATGAACTGTAAAATGATCATCAGTCCTTCCCACACACAACTGTCCCCTTTTCTTCCTAAGAGCAAACAGCCATCTCTCACTCCTATACAAAAAAGGCAGAGAAGACACAACCTTGTAAATTAAAACGCCACACAAATATGCACAAAACAGCACTTTTCTGTACATCTTACCCTATACTAAATTGACAAACTAAATGTAAACTTCAAAAAAGAAAAATGTTCAACTTAAAAAGCCTATCAGAGTAAGGCAGACATTTTGTACAGTCAATAATATTATACAAAAGAACGTTTCAGGCAAATTTCAGCTATTTGACAAACTGATTTAAATACATTATAATTCAAAACCTCTCTCCACCGGTGTGTAATCATTCAATCTGACAGGAAGAGAGCACTGTGCTCTTTTCCTGTACAACAGCGCCACCTACAAGCTCTCAGTAGTATTGCATACTTCAAACTGCAGTTGAAGTCAAGATCAGTACCAAACGCCAAATCTTTAGATTCTGAACAGCTGTGCTGGGAAACACAACTGCGCACATCTGGATTTAGGGTTTCAAATGACCTTGGTTCACAGGATCTAATTAAAAAAATTGTATAGATGACTTTTAAAAAAGGACCAGAGGGTTTTAAACCAGCATATATTCTAAAAGCACCTTTTAAGATGATTTTCAACAAGGAGGGTTGACCGTTTCACCACAATGAATGATCTGCCAACTCTCTATGCTTTGCGTTGCAGAGTGTTTAGTACTTTTTTTTACAAACTGATATGGAATATTTGAGTTTGATAAGCAAGTCACAACAACAGAAAGCCCAGAACTGAAACAGCAGACTTAAAATCATCAGTCTTCAGAAACCGACTACTCAAGACAGAGGCATCTTGTCCTTTACTGGCCAACATGTGATTCTGTTTTTATCTTGCGCCCTACCAAAACACCAGATGACACCTGCCATCTCATCTACCACTTGGATAAATGTCTTATAAATGTTCAAAATGTGTAACATCGCGCTACACGAATGTAAAATTAGCACAAGGGACAGCTCATGTGCTCTGAACGCCTCCAGCTGACAAAAGCACTATTAACGGCAAGAGCGTTTGAGTGCCTGCAGCTTCCAGTAGACATCTGACCTCTCTGATCATGAATATTCACAACAAATCTCGGGCTCGGGATGTTCTGTGACCCGGAACGAGAACAGAACTGCTCTGGGCGCCTCCAGAACTCTCTATGGACACTGTGCTGTAAATCAAGTCTATTCATTTAATAGCCCCATTTTTCTGTTCCCATTTCTTGTTCGTCCCATAGTGTGTGTCCTACATGCTAAATAAAGCGAAATGGCCTCTATTATGGAAAACAAGCATGAAATCTGTGGTTATAAGGGATATACTGTGGGTTCAGTAGTGATGATGTATGATCATGTGCAGGCACTGCTTTCTGATCTTATGCTTTACAGAGATGCCCTCTAATATTAAGGCCTACAGAGAATAAGACAAGACCCAGCCTTCCTTGAAACACATGCACAACACAAAAAATGAATGCATGAAGCCAGACGTCTTAACTTACTCACCTTAACTTAAACCTACTAGATAAAAACAGCCCTAGGCGATGCATCTTATGTGCATGTGTGTATTTGCAAGGGTCAGTATGTTTCTATAAAAGCAAAGAGCACTAATGTTAGTATGGGAAAGCATGTGAATGTGTGTGTTGTCCAGGGATGGATAAACGCAATGTGACTCATGGTGATTCAGCATTGTTGTTGGCCGTGGTGTTGGTTTTCTTCTTTGGCGGTTTCTTCACTGTCTTGGTGGTCTGCTGGTGAGGATAGCAGGATATTGTGGTAAAGAAGAACGAAAGAAAAGAGTATTAATACCTTTTAGGGTGAACGCAATTCAGTGAAGGCATGTGCTCACGACAGCGCACACTCAAAGGCTTGGAAAAAATGTGTATACAGAAAATAAACAGGAATATCTCGTTCTGGTTTACATACAAGCGGGCTGATGTAACAGACTTAAGAGCATTCAGAAAATATTCAGAGCCCTTCGTTTTGTTATGTTGCAGCATTAAGATTAGCAAAATTGCTGCAAAATTTCCCAGTCCATAGTGTAGCGATGTACTGTATGAAGCACTGCTCGCACAGAAGTCACTTTCAAACCAAGTAGCTCTCTTTTGGTCGATGTAGCGATTCTAGCGAATGACCAATTTGAACTCGATGCAAAAATCGGCGTGTGGAATTCTTTCATCCTCATGCAAAATTCCAAATCACATGACACATGACTGGATCTCACATGGAAAATTACCAGAAGAATTTTTTTGTAGCCGTCCTCAGATCTGTGCCTCAACACAGTCCTGTCTTTGAGCTGTCTCTAGGCAGGTTTGTGCCTTTCCAAATAATTTCCAATTAATTTAATTTGATCTCAAAGATCTAGAGAAATGGAATGCACCCGAGCTAAGCTTACCACAAATTAGTGATGGGGAGTCATCTCCAAAAGAGTTGATTCCTCGACTCTGAATAGCCCTAGTTTCATAGTCGACTCCAGCACAGGAATCGACTCTCACTGTCGACTCTGTTGTTGTGTCCGAAACGGCTGGCTGAATCTCTAATCCCTATATAGTGCATGGCAGTTGAGCAAGACGTGAATGAAATGAAGCGAGGAATTCGGACACTGATGTATTTACACCATGCGTCAGAGAGATGGAGCCGTCGCAGAAACAACTTGGTCACATATTGTATCCTACATGCAACTTACTAAAACAACAGTCATAGTGACTTTAGTTTGTAATTATACATACGTCTGTGCCAGCTTTGTAGCTTAACTGTTATATTAATGCAATAAACATAAATTTGGTTTTCCATGGTTAACTTATATGTGACCCTGGACCACAAAACCAGTCATAAGGGTCAATTTTTCGAAATTGAGATTTATACATCA